TATATATAAACTTATTTTAATTTATTTTAGTACTATTAAAATAAATTTTTATAAAATGTATAAAATAAGATTTTTAAAAACTATAGAGACATTAAAAAATAATAAAAATACACAAATTACTAAAACCTCAAAATCTTATTCATAATACAAAAAACTTGATAAAAAAAAAAATAGAACAAATGATACTAGAATAACACTGGTTTGTACAACCTCACTACCAACTATTCTTTGAAAGGATCATAAACAGCCATACAGTGAACAATGTGGTTAAGAAGTTTACATTTACAGCACTGCAGATTACCTCACTCTCATTTGTCATGGCAACCGTTGCTATGTTTGGCATGCCCGTGTTGTTTTATAAGGTTTTCAGGTGAGTGATACTGTATAGCTATTGTTCTGCTGCCAACACAGAAAAAGGGTGTGATTAATCTGATTAAAAATTTTAATCTATTGACAGCCCTAATATATATACATATATATGGTTTAAATTAAGTTAAAAAAAATAATGTTTCAAGTATTGAATTATTTAGAAATTGTGTTGCACAATTTTTTTTTTTTTTTTTTTTTGCCTTTCACCATTTTTATTCATAGAGACCATGTGAGAGACAATGGGAACAGAAGATTAAATTCAATTGAATTAAGAAGTTTTTTTAGTTTTTTTGTAGGCTTTCCAAAGACCAATTGGTCACATCATAAAACTTTATAAGTTATTGAAATAAAATGTTTGGAAAATTTTGGTTGACTTGGTTAAAACTTTTGTGTGTGTGTGTCAGAGAGGGCTACAAAAGTGTCTGCTGTGTTCATATTGAATGTAAATATTGAAGCATAATTCACATGACACCTATGTTGTAAAGTAGAATTTCATTATGAAGTTTCACTGTTTGCATTAGCATTGCCTCTGCTTCTTAAAGCTGCAGAGGCCTGAGCACATTGTGATTGTCATAACTGTGCAATTGTGTTAATGCTCTCAATGCCTTATTAGCCTCTCTGGTTACAGCAGAGGAAGGCCATCCTCAGGTCTTTTAGCTCCAGGAGCTGGGATGTGTTCTTCTGGAAGCAGCATTTTTGCGTTGTTACCTCACTGTGGCCGTAAATAATCTCTCTTATGGCTTCCAGATGTCCCCCTGCCAGAGGAGTGGATGTGGGAACACACACTCAAGGCCTAGTATTCCTCTTTGCATCTTTCTTTGCACACACGCCTGTCCCCACATACAGCGGGGAGGGCAAATTTACACAAGCACTCACAGATTCTCACAAGCACTGTCACGCACACCCTTAACCAGTCTGGTAGGAGACACAGAGACGGGACGTGTTTTTCCAGTCCCACAATGCCAGTGAGTTTAGTCTGACACTTTCTTTTAAAACCTCAGTATTCGTATTTTGCATAAATGTTGTCCCTTTGTACCAGGGTTAAGAACTGAAACTAAAACTTTCACTACTTAAATAAAAAAAAACATTAACTAAAATTGATAAAAAAAAAAATAGAACAAATGATACTAGAATAACACTGGTTTGTACAACCTCACTACCAACTATTCTTTGAAAGGATCATAAACAGCCATACAGTGAACAATGTGGTTAAGAAGTTTACATTTACAGCACTGCAGATTACCTCACTCTCATTTGTCATGGCAACCGTTGCTATGTTTGGCATGCCCGTGTTGTTTTATAAGGTTTTCAGGTGAGTGATACTGTATAGCTATTGTTCTGCTGCCAAAATTAAACAAGAGAAGCATCACTAAAGCTAATATTGTTAACCAACTGATACTTATATACATAGGGTGGAGCTGGCTTCATGATAATGCACAGGTATCGCATGGATTTCTCCATGCATGGGCCCCTCGCTCGGTCTACGTTTATTTGTTTTTACTCTCTAAAGAGCCTTGCAAGGTCCCATTATGATGTGGTTACTGGCGATTCATTCTTGTGAAGTGTTTTATTCAGTGCTTGTTTCGCAGTCCATGCTGCCTGTGGAACCGAGGCGTCTTTTAGGACTCTAGTGGTTGTTGGTTACGAGCGTTATGCCTGATTGTATGCAGTCAGTGTTGTGTATGACGTAAAGCACGACTCCCACTGCAGTGCCACACTTATTTTAACATGTGGCCGCCGCTTACTCATGGCAAAACTGTTGAATGTTTCTTAGAGGTCAAGCGTGGCTAATTCTATCCAGGGATGTCTGAGGTTATTTTTACTCTGTCTCAGTGGTAAGGCTGGGCGGCATGAATTTGATACATTCAGTCAGAATTTACTAGCATATGAATTATCTGTTTTTCTATTTTTTTTTCATAATGTGAGGCTGTTTTTGAACTGATGACAGACTTACCATTATCTTTGGGTTTGTATCCATCAAGTATTTTTTTATTAATTAAATTAGTTTAATTATATAGTATTAATTATAATTATATATAAATTAAATTATTAATAATTATATAGTATTATTTATTTATTAATTTATTTATTTTTATAATCCATATTTCCAGCAAAAAATAAATAAGTTTAAACTAATATATAATAGTATTATTTATTTATTTATTTTGCTGGAAATGTCGATTTTTTTTATTATTATTAAATAATATATTCACACAGTTGTGATATATATTGTCACCATAATAAAAAATTATTATTGTGCTATAATCCTTTGTTCATACTACCTGCTCAATAGTGTTTACACATTGCTGGTATTATTAGCATGTTTTTAGCTGTCAGCAGGGTGATATGGGACTGTGATGACTGTTAGATTAGCAGTGGGTCAGTGCTTAAGTGTAATTACAGTAGTAATGTGGAGCAGTTCTGATGAGACGTAATGACCTGGCTGGGTAATGAAGGCCTGCTGGGACCAAAATGCCTTGGAGCCACCAATTGTACCTTGGTGATCTACCCACTTATTTGCTCTGAAAGACAGATGCTGTAACTTCAACAGATAATGAGTAATGACCCCTTAAATATAATTAGAATATTGTGTGGGAAACATTTTATTTATTCTTAGTTTATATTATTAGATAGTGAAAATAAGTAGCCTAGTTTTTAAAGAAAGAAATGGAAAAGTGCTATCGTGTTCGGGATAGTTGTTGCCTTAACATATTTAATAACAATATTTTGTCAAATATTGTGCTATTTTTAATTATTAGTGTTCAGGTGCAACTTTTTTTTATGGTTGGGTTTGTAAAATAATCATTAGATTTTTTATTCATATAGAAAAGCTGATTTGCATTAGCTGTATTTGTGCACTTAGATTTCTAATGCGTTTCATTTTAACTTACATTGGGGCCCCGAGATATTTAGACACTTAAACCACTTAAAAATGAAGAAATGTCATTGCATGAGATTTTAAAAAATCAAACCAACTTTGTCAATGAAAGTTAGCTGAAACACACTTTTTGTTGGTAAAAGATTTCTAAAAATTAGATTACACTCTCAGAAAAAAAGGTACAAAAGCTGTCACTGGGGCAGGACCTTTTCAAAAAGGTACACCTTTGTACCTTATTTACCCCTAATGGCTGCAGGCAAGGCAAGCACATTAAAGGTACATATTATTACCTAAATAGTACATATTTGTACCTTTTGAAAAGGTACTGGACCAGTGACAGCTTTTGTACCTTTTTTTTCTGAGAGTGTATAAATCTGTTATTAAATAGCTCTATATACTGACACCTATGTGACTTTTTTGAATTTCTTTCTTCTGCACAATCCAATATTGCTATGGTAACAGAGCCGCCCCACCCTGTGTGCTTGATACTGATTGGATGAGAGTTTATGGACTAAACTATGAGTGTAGCTGTGGCAGTGTGCTCCCATGGAAAAATGTAGCAACAGAACACCTCAGTAATGTGTATGAGAGCCATTAGATGAGGTCGAGCTTTGTAAAAAGTTGTTTTAGGAAGGTCAAGCCTACCTCATTCTTAGAGCTGCATAGACTCTGATGATGGCAGGTGTGGGTGGCGTGTTTGTACTCTTGTTGAGGATAAACATGGCAGACTTTTATCCTTATCGCACTGCGGTTGAGATCATCCCCTCTTCTGTTCCCATGTTCTCCCACCCTGGGAATAACACACGCACAACCTTGCTGCAGTGGAGGAATTCATTATTTTACATAATATTTACAAAAGAATGTTTAAAATAATAGTTCATTTGAAAATTAATTTATTCGACAAAAATCTTAAGTATAACTCTGAAAAACAGCATTTTTCATAAATAAATATAGTGGCAATAACTGTTCAAAATGTTGCAGTCAGATTTTTGAAAGAAGTTTTTATGCTCATCAGGGCTGCATTTATTTTATTTTAAAAGCAGTAATACTGTGAAATATTATTTCTATTTAAAATAACTTTTTTCTATTTTAATAAAATGCAAAATATAATTTATTCCTGTGATGGCAAATCTGAATTTTCAGCAGCCATTACTCAAGTAATCGGTCTCACACGATCATTTAGAAATCAGTCTAATATGCTGATTTGGTGCAATCAGTGTTGAAAACACAAAATATTTTTGAGATACATTTTTTCAGGATTATTTGATGAATGGAAAGTTCAAAGGAACTTTCTATTTTATAATTTATCTGAAATAGAAAATCTTTTGTAACATTATGAATACCTTTAACTGTCACTTTTGATCAATTCAATGCTGAATAAAAGTATAATTTTTCTTTAAAAATCTTTCTGACCCCAACCTTTGGTAGTGTATTTATTTTTATTTTTTGACAATTTCTTTTTATTATTATTATTATTATTATCTTATTTAAATTTTACTGATTTTGTCCCTTTTAATATTTACAGCCAAACCTTTTACATCCAAGGTGAAACAGATGCGCTTGCACAAGGAAGATTTCGAGATCCTGAAGGTGATTGGACGGGGAGCGTTTGGAGAGGTATTTATTGTTCTCACTACATTTAGAACATTCTATTGTTTTTTTTTTTAGATCCCATAAGAGCCCCTATACATTATTAGTTAATATACTGCTTTACCATAAGCACAGGTATGTTGCAGAGTAAGGACATTCTTCATGCTGTACTTTTGAGAGCCCGAGGCAGTTAATGTTCTTTTGTAATGACAGATGTGTGATGTAGTCACTGGGGGAATGTGTGGTGTACAGGTAGGCCAGGAAACCGGCACTATTAGGTTACTTAGTGAGGCTTGGCTGTTCAGAATGGCACATGAAGTGGGAATATTGGATTGGAGCCATGTTTTAAAACCCCAGCAAATGGTTTATGGAATTTGTATTCAGGTTTTATTTTCGCAGTGACTGAACACTTGGACGTTTCCAAGTTGAGTTGAAGGAATAGTTCACCCAAAAATAAAAATTTGATCATTATTTACTCACATATTTTGTAACCAGTGCAGCTCCTTTTCTTCCGTGGAATACAAAAAGTTAATATTTGAGGAATATCTTTGCAGCTCTGACTTGCAAGTGAAAAAGTGAAAGTGAAGTGATGTGTAGCCAAGTATGGTGACCCATACTCGGAATTTGTGCTCTGCATTTAACCCATCCAAGTGCGCACACACACAGCAGTGAGTAGTGAACACACACACCCACACACACACACCCGGAGCACTGGGCAGCCATTTTTTTTTGCAGCACCTGGGTAGCAGTTGGGGGTTTGGTGCCTTGCTCAAGGGTCTCACTTCAGTCGTGGAATTGAGGGTGGAAGAGAGCACTGGTCATTCACTCCCCCCACTGACAATTCCTGTCAGTACAGTGACTCGAACCCGCAACCTTTGGGTTACAGGTCTAACTCTCTAACCATTAGGCCACGACTTGAAATATTGCGTACAGCTTTTACAGACTGATGATGATTTTATGATAGTTTTATGGTATTTTTCCTGTTTTTTTTTTTTTTTCGAAGCTTGAAATCTTTAGTCCACATTCAGATAGTAACCAGCATATTATTTAAAGTTTCTCCTTTTGTTTTCCATGGAAAAAAAGAAAGTCATATGGTTTTGGGAACGACAGGATAGTGAGTAAATGATGACCAAATTTTCCTTTAGCTAATTCTTTAACATACAGATCTGCTTTAAACAACTGTGTCTGTAAAAAGACAGTTTAAACTTTTTTTTTTTTTTTAACAATGGATAGGTTTGAGTTATAAAAATGGCAACACATTTATTAGATTGGGTGGATGGAAATACATCAAAGATCCTTGAGATTAAAGTAGATTTAAAAGGGCAATGTGTCAGTCCCTAGGTTTTTCTCCACTTGTCAACGTCTGGTGAGCTATATGATTCATCTGCACCCTCCTCAATGGGAACGTTTTCGTCTGACACACCACTAGACAGGGTTTCCGGCCTAGCGTCTGCTCACTTCAGTCCAACTGGAATCAACAGCTCATGGAAAGCTAGCAGAAAATCCGTTCTACTTGATGTGAGCCTGTTTCCAAAATAACACCAGAGAGGAAGCCATGCAGCTGTGAGAAACCGTGCAAAGGAATAGATTGAGGATAGGTCACACACTTTCATCTCCTGATGGATCAGGATAGGCTTGGGACGAACAGAAGAAGGGCAGATGACATAATTTCCTGTGGAGACTGCTGAGCCAGTAGCTGCTTCTGAATTTCAAATTTAAAAAATAAATAAATAAATCAGCTGTCAATATGTTTTAAGATCATTACATTTTTTTTGCATGTTGCATTTGCATTGTCACATTTAAATGCCACTTACTGTAATGCAGTTTTTTTTTTAATTAAAATGTTTAAATACTATAAATATTTTTAGATTATACTCTACAGTAAGCACTATAGCGTACTATGAACGTACATTATGTTAGTGTTTGATGTATTGAATTCAGTTTATGCTGATAAAAAAAAACACTTTGTATCCAGACAGGATGAAAATGTGTGATAAAAATATCACAATGGTCCTATAAATAAATAAATACATAAATAAATAAATAAAAAGAAAGAAAGAAAGAAAAAAAAAGAAAGAACTGGTCTCATGAATAAAAGACCAAGTACTGAGACATGCAACACTCTTCCAGAGATGTGTGGATTTTTTTTTATTATGAACAGACCCACACATTTCTATGAGAGTGCTGCATGTCTCGGTAGTTTTACTGGTCTTGTAGTGTATGAGTTGATGTGTAGGATGCGGAAAGGGGAATCTCTGAAGATGTCATCACATACTTGATGGCAGAAAGCGAAGAGCAAAGAACTTTGAAAGAGACTCTTCTATCATCAAAGTCAGAGCCAAAAACTGTGTGCTCCTTCCCGATCAAGTCACTAAACATTGCCAGAACATTGTTATGTTTAGTCTTAAGTCTAATCATCATTTAATAGAGTGAAGACATCACACGCCTAACTGGGCTTAATGTTTTATATTTCCTTATCAAGGCAGATGCTAGATAAGATCATAAGAAGTTTACTTTCCTAGCACTATGATTTCATGACATTCACACGCATCTGTTTTTTATCTGTATTTAAACTTTACCGTTTGTAGTCTCACAGAGATTGAATTTGCAGCTTAGGCCCTGTTTACACTAGTGCGTTTTAGTTTTAAAACGGCGTCTACACTTGCGTTTTCACTGCGTTTCAGAAACGATCTCCATCCACACTACACAACCGAAAACGCATGTCACATGACCATTCATGCAGGTACAACCATAGATATGTATACATATCTATGGGTACAACAATGAGCATGATGTTATTGTTTACACGGTCGTCGTGTAACAATCATTTCCACAAAAGTACTAAGCAGCTGTTTTCAACATGTGTAATAATAAGAAATATTATTTGAGCACCAAATCTGCATATTGGAATGATAACAATAAATTACATTTTGAAGTATATTAAAATAGAAATGTTATTTTAAATTGTAATAATATTTCACAAAAGTACTATTTTTCCTGTATTATTGATCACATAAATGCAACCTTGGTGAGTGTAAGAGATTCTCTCAGAAACATTTAGAAATCTTGTGAACCCCAAACTTTTGATGTTGACCAACATCAAAACCACAGATGCTGACCAACCACAGATGCTGTATGTTTGTTTACAGGCACCAAGTTATTGAGCGTACTGCATGAGTACATTTCTTCAAAGTTGAATTGAATTATTCAGTAGGGTTTAATATGCTTTGTAGGCACAAAAATCATGTTTTACTTGCAATAAGCTTCTGCAAACCTAAGACCAGTAGAGATGAACAAATCTGGTATTATATATTTCTGCTCATAATCTGCTGTACTTTTCTTCAATGAATGCTATTGGCAGCACATTTAACAAGCAAGCTGAGTAACACTTTTGTGTGAATGCCAATAAAAAACGAATTATGTTTAAGATCACATCAGGACTGATGTTCTCATCCTCCTTACAGGTTGCAGTAGTAAAGGTGAAAAATACAGACAAAGTATTTGCCATGAAGATTCTCAACAAATGGGAAATGCTCAAAAGGGCTGAGGTGAGCTGATGTTAGCAGACATCTCTTCCTTTTATTCAGCAGATTTGGTTCAAGCCGAACTGCTTTAGCTGCAAATAACAGTAATGGTTTTCTCAAGACTGATTTTTATATAATGTACAAATCTTGATCCAGTTAGCATCAGGCTTTACCATTCAGCTGATGCAGCCGTTTCTCCTATATCCCTGGCGTATCATTCTTTAGCGTCCTAGGAGAGTGTTACTCCCTCTGTCTTTGCCCATTACACGAGGAACCACTTAAAAACAGTCTTTGCTCTATATATGATTCAGAAACCATTCCTCACAGTGAAAATAGACCCCTCGGTTGGAGTCATTCTAAGTATGTGGAGCACATTTTTGATCGACTCCAAAAAAGTGGTTTTCAATTGACATTTTACCCCTTTTTTTCTCAGACTGCATGTTTTCGGGAGGAACGGGACATGCTGGTGAACGGGGACAGTCAGTGGATCACGACGTTACACTATGCTTTCCAGGACGAGAACAACTTGGTGTGTGAGAACTCTCAAGCTCACATTGGGTCTGATTCACATTCACTTGATAAGGTGCAGAGGGGGAGATAATGTAATGATCATTAATCACTGCTTACAGAGTTCCAAGGGACACTGTTTTATAGCAGACTATATATTTATCTGTGCCGTGCTGTATGTAGCGTGACTGGAGAAGAGGGGGCTCTAATATGAATTATCATTTTGAGTTCAGCTTCATGAGTGGGAGTGTGAAGGAATGAAACTGGAGGAAGAGAACGATAAAGAGGTTTTGAATGAAAGAATGTCATGGATAATTGAGATGGGATGGGTTAATCCAAGAGTAAAGGAAATTTAAAAGATGTAGACTCCCTGTGATTGATATCTTTGTTTCCCATTATATTTGTTTCTTCACTTCTCTTATTTCTGTCTTATTCACATCCTGTTTTTCTCTCCTCCCAGTACCTGGTGATGGACTACTATGTAGGGGGAGATCTGTTGACTCTGCTCAGTAAATTTGAAGATCGTTTGCCTGAGGACATGGCCAAGTTCTATCTGGCCGAAATGGTCTTGGCTGTTGACTCTGTGCATCAGCTACATTATGTTCACAGGTGGGTCTTGACTCTTTAAACTAGGGTTGTTAATCAGTTAAAAATTTGACTGAATTAAATGTTCATTGATTAATCAAATTAATGGCATATGTCAGTATTTGCTGAACCCCCAAATTATGATAATTAAAAGATATCATTGTGGCAGACATAAGCATTGAATAGATATTAAAAAGTGGCTTTAGAAGTCAATTTATTGTTGTTTTTTTTGTTTCCATATCAATAAATGTATAATCCTATCACTGACCTTCTGTACACAGCAATCCATTTTGTAGTCAGGTTTGCTTGTAAAACTCTTTTTTTTTTTTTTTTTGATATACAAATACGCATTTTTTTGATGACATTTGAAAGCAGATGCCTTGTTAACTAGCCAAAACATCTTGTTTGAAACCAGATGTTTGGGTGAGGTATATTAAATAGTTCATCCTTATTTTGCCATGACCCTGTTTTCTAGTTAGTTACAGGTAGTATTAGAGGGAGGGACATTCTCAATATAGAGAGAATTTGATTGGACAAAAATCTGTGTAGTGCAACATGAGTCATCAGTATTTTGGTCTGTTTTCATAGAAGATTGTAAATTTAAAAAATCTGCTTAAAGTCAGTTTTGTCAATCTTTAGGAGGACCGTACTATTCAAAAGTTTGGGACAGCAAGATTTTTTTTAAAGGAAATTCATATTTTTTTCTGCGAAGATGCATTAAATTGATCAAAAGGACCAGTAAATGATCATGTGACACTGAAAACTGGTGTGATTTCTGCTGAAAATTCAGTTTTGCCATCACAGGAATACATTTCATTTTAAAATATATTACAATTGTATTAATATTTCATAATATTACTGTTTTCCATGTAAAATCTTACCCCAAACACCCATTTTGATTTTATGGGGTTTTCAAATCAGCTAAGCATGCACTGAAATCACAGCAAGAGCAATGAGTCGGAAAAAGGCTATGTTTAGTCTGAGGACAGGCTGGATTGGAACCCATCTTCGGTTATCACACAGGAAGTGTCAACATTTGCATACTGACAGGCACCAGTTGCATAGAGCCCTCAGTGTGATGAATGTGTTTGTACTGGGACTTTGGGTGTGCTTCAACAGTCCCACCAAACACATCATTTGGGTACAAACAATGTACTCATGTTGTCTTCCTCACAAACTTATATGCAGCTCTTTTTAGTCGCTGCTTTTGGGGCACCCAGAGGGACAGGCAGGGGAAAGTTAAAGGCAGTAATCATGGGGTTAGAGGTGTGGTCAACTGTTCTCATGAAAGTTTGGTACGCCTGGTTTGTGGAGGGTGGAAACAGAGTGGATTGGTCTCCAGGGATAGGGTTGGCGTGGGTGTGTTTTTGTATGAGCAAGCCGTGTTAAAGGGTGTGCATTTGGGAATAAGTGCATCTGTATGTTTGAGGGTGGATGTACTGTGTGAAAATAGTTGAGACACCACAGTTTGCATGAATGCACAGTGATGGGTTCATAATTAGTAGTGTACCATCTAAAAAAAAATATTTAAAGGGGTATTTCACTTAAAAATGAATATTCTGTCATTATTGAATCATCCTCATGTCATTACAAACTTGTATGACTTTCTTCTATGGACATAAAAGGAAATGTTTAGCAGAATGTTCACACTGCTCTTTTCCTTTTAAAATTATAAAAAAATGCTTTCAAGCTAAAAGAAAAAGACAAAAATATATATATAGATAG